GTTGACCTTTTTCGAGCTTGCTAACTCTCAATCCCTCCAATGATTCTTGCTAGTTCTTGAGGGAAAAGAGAGAGGAGATCTAGATCCACGTTTCCACCAATCACTTTCTCCTCTAAGTGAGGGGAACCCCTTGGATCTAGATCTTGGAGTTCTTCGTGTTCTTCTTTTGTTCTTCCTCTTATTTTCCTCCCTAGCATTAGTTGCTTTGGTGGGATTTGGGAGAGAAGGACTTGGGCACTCCGTGTGCCCTTGCCATTGCATTTGGTGCATCGGTTTGAGTTCTCCACGGTGATACGTGGAAGTGAAGTTTGAGAAGCTTATTACTCTTGGGTGTTTGGGCACCCTAGAGCTTGTTCCTCTTGGGTGCCTTGGCGCCCTAGACGGTTGGTGGTGTTCGGAGCTCAATCATTGTGGTGCAAAGCTCCGGGCAAGCGTCGGGGTCTCCAATTAGGTTGTGGAGATCGCCCCGAGCAATTTGTCGGGTACCGGTGACCGCCCCCAAGGGTTGCCAAAGTGTACGGGTTCGGTGACCGCCCCCAAGGGTTGCCATTTGTACGGGTTCGGTAACCGCCCTCAAGGGTCCCTTAGTGGAATCACGGCATCTTGCATTGTGCGAGGGCGTGAGGAGATTACGGTGGCCCTAGTGGCTTCTTGGGGAGCATTGTGCCTCCACACCGCTCCAAACGGAGATTAGCATCCGCAAGGGTGTGAACTTCGGGATACATCGTCGTCTCCGTGTGCCTCGGTTATCTCTTACCCGAGCCCCTTTACTTATGCACTTTACTTTGTGATAGCCATATTGTTCTTTGTCATATATCTTGCTATCACCTAAGTAGTTTTTCTTGCTTAGCATAAGTTGTTGGTGCACATAGGTGAGCCTAGTTGTTGTAGGTTTTGTGCTTGACAAATTAACCGCTAGGTTTATTCCGCATTTGTTCAAGCCTCAACCGTAATTATTTTAAAGCGCCTATTCACCCCCCCCCCCCTCTAGGCGACATCCACGATCTTTCATCAACAATGGAAGTAGAACTCACAGCACTAGATATAGCTACCGTTGAAGCAGATTGGCTTCGTCGGTTCTTGAATGACTTGCTGATTGTTGAGAAACCTGTATCGGGTATCCTTATGAACTGCGACAATCAAACTGTGATCACGAAAGTGAGCAGCTCAAAGGATAACATGAAGTCATCAAGACACATTCAGAGGAGGTTAAAGTCTGTCAGAAAAATGAAAAACTCCGGAGTTATTGCATTGGATTATATTCAAACGTCTAAAAATCTGGCAGATCCTTGTACTAAGGGACTATCACGTAATGTGATAGATATTGCATCGAGGGAGATGGGTATGAGACCCACAATATGAGTTGTTCACAGTGGTAACCTATTCTTTGTGATCGGAGATCCCGCGAATTAGATGTGAAAGACAAGTTGTTGGTCAACTGAGAGGAGAGTATCCTTACTGTTAACAATACCACTCCATGAAGATGCAATACTCTCCTAATCTGCATGGCAGGTTGATGTATATCTTAATGTGTTCTAAGTGGCTCTTTTAAGCAGAGATGTTGTCCTGCAGAACATCTTTTGAAGAACACACATATATCAGTCTGATTGTTAAACGTCGCAATCTATGAGAGTAGGGTTCTCTCTAGTAAACTCATGAAAGGTCTCGGAGTATGACGCATATGCTCCACCCGCGGGGAAGACCCACGGTAGCCTCGTATCGGTCAAGGCTTTATGTGAAGTTAGATTCGCAGAAAACTTGCAGTTCAAGGCTCAGTCCACTGTTTAAGTTGCTTACTAGTGTAGCATAGAGTTCTAGGTGGAAGTTAAACTTAACGGTCTTCACTGCAGTACCGGTATATAAAACAGTGTTTTGGAACCAAAGGCAAATTTTGTGTGCCTCTGGGATCTGGTGGGAGATTGCTTATCTATTTTGAACCAAGCCCAATAGCGGTTTCAGAAATTCCTAATAAATCTTGAAGGCCCACGCGGCCCATTCATGCAAGGCAAGAGGTGGAACTAAAGTTTAGTCCCACATTGCTATTTTAGAGGGAGTTGGACCACTTTATAAGGGAGATTCTTTCCCCACATGTATGAGGATGAGAACAAGAGAGACATCCACGCGCGCTCCTCCTTCGCCGTCCGCCTCGTCACATCAGGCCGCGCCACGCCGCGGGTTGCGAGAATGAGCCGAGCCTATGTTTAAATTTTTGCCACGCACGGCGGATATACGAAAGGTCACGTGTGAGCTGAAACGTTTTTCTGTAGTGGACACTGAATCTGAACGGCTCGCCTCTTCGGCTGAAGTTTGTTCGTTTTGTCTCCCTCGTTCCCTTCAGCTCCCGGCGCAGCCTCTCGCCTCCTTCAGTTGCGCCTATAAAAGGGAGACCGCTCCTCTCAGAGAGAGGCACCAGAACTATTTTTTTCTCTCGCCACCGGTTCCTGAGCCTTCCTCATCCCGGCTTACGGATGCACCGCGAGTCGGGACAGTAGGCCTCCGAAACTGCACCTCTTTGAATCATGTACGGGAGAAGGGTGATAACGTTTTTGGGGAGCGCTCCGCGCAACTACTGACCGGTTCATCATGGACACTGACAACCACTTCCCCAACGACGACTTCTTTCCCGACGTTGACAACATCTTCGACGACATAGTTGGCGAGGATGTCGACCCCAAGTCCAGTGCTTCTGCTCCTGCTGTTGTCCCGTACGTGTTTTTATTTTTGCTGTTAGAGTTCCTGCCACAATTTCTTGTTCCAGTGTTTGCTCTAGATATGTTTGGTTACAGTTCACATATGCGGATGCTATTTACCTTCTCTCTATAAGATCGCATGACTTGTTTTATCTCTGCTTTATTAGTCATGTTTTATCTAGTATTTCTCTTAATAAAATTATTCAATAAATTGCTCATATTTCCAACATGTGCTTATGGTCTTTATGATTAAGCCAGCCACAGATATCATGCCAGGTTGAGAGCTCTCGTCGGAACTAGGTATTAATTCCAGCACTTTGACTCTCGACTTCTCATAGTACGTAGCTCCATATGGCAGCGGTGGCAGCTGCAGATACTACATCCAGGTGATATGTGAGCGGAGTGGCCACGTTATGCGTGATCTAGCATAGTACTAGTACATGACAAGCGTGACGGCATTCATTCATTTAATAAAAAAGGAAAAAAGACTCAAAAGAGAAAGAAAAAAAGCAATGATTGCCGACGCCGGCCGTGCAATCCAAGCGACCCAGCGGTATTACTTTTTTTTTTGAAATAAACATCCTCTTTATTTATTAGTAATAATGGTTACATCGTCTATGAAAAAATTTACAATATCATTCATAGGTTCCTCAAACCAGTCCTTTGTCTCAGAAAATTTGGCTACTCTAGCAACTTCATGAGCTACTTTATTTGCCTTTCTATTACAGTGTTCAAATCTAACTAACGAAAAATTACAAACCAAAAAATAACAATCATCAAACACAGCTGCCGCCGCTCCCGTTGTATGTCCTCCATTCTTTATCGTGTCAATTACTTCCATATTATCAGAGTTAACAACAAGTCGGTTACTTCCCGCCTTTTGTGCCAGTAATAAGCCAAAACGTAGTGCCATGGCTTCTGCTATTAAAACATCTGCACACCAATCCATCTTCCAATTCCCTCCAACAATAAATCTTCCTTTATCATCTCTAAGTACAGCTCCCGCTGTGCCTCTAAGCATGTCTTGATCAAAAGAAGCATCCACATTTAATTTCACAAAACCTAGAGGGGGTCTCGTCCATCCCTCTATTTTATTTGTTGCCTTGGAGGATTGGGCAATAACATAGTTCGTCGTTATAGCACGGGCTCCCATCGAAATTTGGTATGCATCTTGGGTCTTCCCCTGATGAACTAGCGAACGTCTTTCCCACCATAAATACCAGGCTGTTATAGCGATCAGTTCGCGAACATTCTGTGTGCCCAATATAGATAGCTCATGTTCTGGCATAAAAATTAGAAATTCAAGTACTGCCTCTCACGCACGATCGACCGCACAGGCTTTTTTAATGGCTTCGTGCAATCCCAGTTTCTCCCACACCTCTTTTGCCTTTTGACATAAAAATAATAAGTGTTTTGTATCTTCATGCCCGTTTGAACATGATGGGCAGGTGGGCGAAACTTTCATATGTCTATTAGCAAGTGTAACACGACACGGGAGGGTTCCATGTAAGGTACGCCAAATAAAGATCTTCACTTTTGCTGGACAAGATAATTTCCAAATCTTGCTTCAAATAGTATTGACATTTATTCCTCCAATGCCATCTGAGTGTTGCAATTTCCTTCCATGTTGGGCTTTCCATTCCTCCAGATAAGCAGAACGAACCGTGAACAGTCCATTCTTTTGCGGTATTACTTTGCATTGAGCTCCGGATGAAACACTTTCTTTTTAGAGGGCGGATACAGACCGAAGTTGGCCTCCGAGTAAAAATAGGCAGCATTAAGAAACAGGGCCGGAGCCGGCCCACGGGACGGTTTCACGGCAAGGGAAAAGCGCGCCAAAACCTCGTGCTCGTGCATGACGACATCTCTCTCCCTCCCTCCCTTCGTGAGCCTACTACTGTATACTCCCTCCGTCCGAAAATATTTGTCCTCAAAATGAATGAAAAAAATGTATCTAAAACTAATATATATTTAGATACATCCTTTTTATTCATTTTGATAATAAGTATTTCCGAACGAAGGGAGTACTAGTATACCACTAGCGTCCATTATTGCAACCAACTTGCCTAATCACGGTCCTAATCCCTGCGTTCCGTCCGGTCATCCTAATCCCTCCCTCCGCCCCCGCTTTAAAACGCCCACAGCTTCCTTTCTTCAACCTGTGTCCTCCTTCCTTGGCCGCGCTGACCACCTCCCCTTCGAATCCGCGGACCCATGGCTTCTTAAACAACTCAGCCCTGCGGAAGCACAGCGCATCACACCGGAGGCTGCGGAAGAATCTTCAAGGGTCCTGATTCTCGGAGGATCTTGATGGGGATCTGCGCGTCCTCGGAGCACCTCGGGCAGCAGGGGCAGGAGGCGGACGAGAGCATCGTCTACGTCATGGACGAGGAAGGAGGGGGCGGCGCGTCGTCGCCCAGGAAGGTGGCCTCCCTCTTCTCCCAGAAGGGCAAGAAAGGCCCCAACCAGGACGCCGTCATCCTCTGCCAGGTAATTTCTTCACTACCTCTATCTATCTAGGCCTATCTACTTTCTCCTGCTTCATGTTGGTTGGGTTTGGGTTGAATTGCTCCATTTTGTGCTCCAATTGTCTGTCACTCTTCTAACTCGGGTTTTCGGTCTTCTTGAGGCCAGCTGGGAGCTTCCATGAGCTTATAATCGCCTCACCACAAGATCCATCTTACTAGTACTAATTTGTTCTGCAGTTTTATCTGTGAATCTTCTTCTTTTTCTTCTATGTGATGTGATGTGATTCTTTATTAGTATTACTCCTATATATGCTGGAATTTGTGCTTTTATTGGGTCAGCCGGGGTGTGCTCTGTGGTTTCGATCAGTGGGTTACATTGAAATTCTTGTTGCTAGTGGCAGATTTTTTGTGGACGTACAACAGTTTAATTTCTTGATGGGTTCTGTGCTGGCTCAACGCTGTACAGATATTTTCATCAACACCACAACTGGACTAGTACAATCTTTTTTGCGGTCAAATTACTCCACCTAGTTTTCGCTGCTGCCCTGTCTAATCCTAACTACAGCACTGTGGCTACCGTTTAGGTTCAATTCACAAATTGTCCAACCTTTTCCATTTATACTAATTCTTGTTAGAGAGATGGCCAAGGAAAGGCTAATTATTACACTTTGGCGAACGGTAGAGTACTGTAGTACTACTAGTTTTATTGAAATCATTCAGATTTAGCAGCTGATTCTTTTCCGCAATTATTGCAGCAAGTGATCTGATCTATTTCCTCCGTTCCTAAATAGTACTATAGACCGCTTACGGATGTATATAGATGCATTTTTAAAGTGTAGATTCATTTATTTTGCTCCGTATGTTTTCTATAATGAAATTTCTCCAAAAACTTATATTTAAAAACGGAGAGAGTACATGAAAAAGAGGGACACCATGTGATCCTGTAAAGGTTCCAAAGCAGCCATGTGTTTCCAAAGATTCCAAATTGTTCCCAAAGATTGCTTTACCGAACCCCACTAACCTCACCTACCATTCGAGTTTTTAACTACCTACTGAATACTTCGTATAAAAAACATTCTTATATTATGAGACGGAGAAAATAATGTATTACAGAATTTTTAAATCAACTGTGCAATTTTGTCTGAATCTCATGAATTTTGTTTTGTTTTTCACCAGGGATTCGGCATGGAGGACGGCGTGTTTTGCGGCGTGTTCGACGGCCACGGCAGGTGTGGCCACTTTGTGAGCAAGCTGGTGAGGGACTACCTCCCCTTCATGGTCCTGAGCCACCGGAACGCGCTGCTCCTGGCGGACGCGGACGCGGACGCCGACGACGCCGTGTTCAGCGACGCCTCGCCTTCGACCTCCGCGGACAGCAGCGGCAACTCGTCACCGCACCCGTCGCAGATGCTGGAGGAGTGGAGGGAGGCCTGCACCAATGCGTTCAAGGCCATGGACAACGAGCTCAAGCTGCAGGCCAACATGGACTGCAACTTCAGCGGCACCACGGCAGTGTGTGCCATCAAGCAGGTAACCGATTGATCATTACACAAAAAATGTTGCACGTCATCATCTTACAGAAAAAGAAAATGTGTGTCTTGAATTTGATGGGTAACAGGGCAAGGATCTGATCATTGCCAACCTCGGGGACTCGAGGGCGGTTCTTGCGACCATGTCTGGGGCCGGCTACCTCAAGGCCGTGCAGCTCACCACTGACCAGAAGCCCGGCCTGCCTGGTGAGACCTCCGGCCACTGCATTCTTTCATTGGCCATTCCGCCATTGCATATTGCATTGCAGTGATGTACTGTACTACGTACTAGGAGTAATCAATTAATTAAGCGTTGATGTGGATGCAGAGGAGGCGGAGAGGATCAACAAGTGCGAGGGGCGCGTGTTCGCGCTGAGGGAGGAGCCGGGCGTGATGCGTGTGTGGCTGCCCGGCGAGAACCTCCCGGGGCTGGCCATGGCGCGCGCGCTGGGGGACTCGAGGCTGAAGCACCACGGCGTCATCTCGACGCCGCAGGTGACGGGCCACCGGATAAGCGACGCGGACCTGTTCATCATCCTGGCGACGGACGGGGTGTGGGACGTGCTGAGCAACGAGGAGGTGGTGTCCATCGTGTGCGCCACGCCGCGGAAGCAGCACGCGTCGAAGGCCGTGGTGGAGGCGGCGGTGCAGAGGTGGAAGACCAAGTACCCGTCCTCACGGGTGGACGACTGCTCCGCGGTCTGCCTCTTCCTGCACGACCACAGCGCCGCAGCGGCCACCAAGCTCTAGCTAGCCGGCGCTCAGGCTCCGGCCGTTCGCCTCCATCTTGTAGTAGTACATGGTTTTCCTTCTTTTTTGCCGGGGTTTTGCTTTCTTTTTTGCAAATACTTTTCTAGGTTTGTCCAAGTGTAACATAGTTTCGGCTGAAGAAAATAACTTTCTTATTTGTCTATGTTGTGTGTCTCCCATCACACTCACACACCAAATAAGAAATCCAGCCAAATAATCGCAAGTACGCTCCAAGGTGCAAATGCACCTGGATATGAACACTAAATTTGGAAAAATAGCGAAACAATTTCAAAAAATTCTCAACTTTCTTGCAGACAAACATTCTCGAGTGCTCTCCCCCGTACAAATTTTAGTGAAGAAATCACATTTGCGATGCTTTGCATAAAAAAGCAAAACAGATGGCTCAAAATGCTTTTAAAATGAGCCTGTTAAGAGTGTTGGTATATTTTTGTTGGCCACATTGAATGTTATTTCCCGACGAAATTTTGCACGAGAATAGAACATTCAAACATGTGTGTTGTAAAAAAAGGCGGACTTTTTTTATACTTTTACTGTATTTTATTTGCACTTGTCCCCTGCTAATTAATCAACTTCTCAATTTTTTTTGTTTCATAAACTATAAAGGCAGTTCAGAAAACATCAGAATTGACAAAAAATTACACCCAGGTCTCTTGACCTCGTAGCGATGACTACGAGCACTAGAGCGAGTCGAAGGCACCTGTCGTCATCGACCCTTGTTAGAGTACATAATGGGCCTAATGGGCCCATTAGTCTTAGGATTAATTAGAGATAAGGGTCGCTTGCTTAGGGGTCAAGTGAGCCTTGCTTAGGAGTCAAGTAAACCTCTCTATATAAAGAGAGGAGATGTATCAATCTAATCAAGCAAGAATTAAGAAGGAAATCCCTTCCCTCTTGCCCGGCCGTGGGCAAAAGGCCCCCGGTCGGCCCTCTCGCGCCCTCCTTCTAGCAGCGCCATAACAATTTGGTATCAGATAGCTTCGGTTCGATCATGTCTTCACCGCCGCCAAGCCCGTCTCTTCCGCTGCCGGTAACTCGTCGCCTCCGGCGACCAGGCACGACCGTCGCCCCGCTCCTGCCCGCGCTGGGCTCCTCCGTCGCGCCCGCCCTCGCCGTCCTCACCCCGGAGGAGGTGTCCGGGATGCTGCGGGACCTAACCCAGGCGGTCCAGGAGATCCACCTGTTCTTGGCCGGGTCCTACGGGCCGCACCCGGCGGCGCCGCCGTGGCTGTCGTGGCAGCCGCTGCACCAGGCGGCCTTCGTCGCGCTCGCCACGCAGCTGCAGCAGCCGCTGCAGCTGCCATCCATCGCCACCACCGCCCAGCCCTGGCTGCAGTGGCAGCCGCCGCTCCTGGCAGCCTCCACCGCGCCCGGCGCTCCGCCGCAGCAGCCGCTGCAGCTGCAGCAGCCACCGTCGGTCAGCTCCGCCGCCCAGTATGGGATGCCCTACGACGAGAGTGCGACGACCTCGTTCCCATCAGCGTCGCCACCATCGCAGGGCGTCCATATCCAGCAGATCAAGTCCCCGCCGTCGCCGTCACCGCTTCCGTCTTGGATCGCTACCCGCCACGTGTCGGTGGCGGTGAGGCTGCAGGCTGTTGCGCGCGGCCTCCTAGCGCGTCAGCATGTGCGGGAGATGTGTGGTCTGCAGCTGCCGCTCCTCCAAGTTGCCCTTCGCTGCGCAAAGGACCTTGATCTCATCCGCTGCGTCGGGGATCTTGGGCATGCGGTTTTCCCCACGGGCGGCGGGCATGCTGTTTTCCCCGCGGGCAACGACCTCAAAGTCTGCAACATCGGCGGTTGGGGGGGTGCACCCCTCCTCGTCATTCTCCATAGCAAGCCCTCCACTCTTTTCTGTGCGGTGCAAACCAACAGCCGTCCGGCAGGGAGAAGGCATGGTGTCACCAACAACAGCACACCGCGTAGCACCACTGCATTCCTCCACCGGCCGCCGCGAGGGCGCCTCTGCTGGTCACTCTTGCGACCACTTCCAGGTGGTCATACACATGCACTTCTTTTGTACAGGTGGTGTCCATGGGATCCAGGTGGCTTTACACGTGCACGTCTGACATGCGGATGGTGTCCACTTTTTGTTAAGGGGTCCAACATAATAAAGCGTCCCAGTACATTTCAGGTTGAGAATAATAAAACAAGCCGAGATGTAAAAGGCTTGTTTTTAGGTGTCGGGTTTGTGTTGTGTCAAGTCATGGTTATAAGTTGGTTAGGCTGCAGCTCGAGGACAAGTTGCATGTCCAGGTGGGGTGTAGTGTTAGAGTACGTAATGGGCCTAATGGGCCCATTAGTCTTAGGGTTAATTAGAGATAAGGGTCGCTTGCTTAGGGGTCAAGTAAGCGTTGCTTGGGAGTCAAGTAAACCTCTCTATATAAAGAGAGGAGATGTATCAATCTAATCAAGCAAGAATTAAGAAGGAAATCCCTTCCCTCTTGCCCGGTCGTGGGCAAAAGGCCCCCGGCCGGCCCTCTCGCGCCCTCCTTCTAGCAGCGCCATAACAACCCTCCCTCACCGAAGTCGGGCAAACCTTGTTGTATTGTAGACAGTCAAAAAATCATTGTGCTAAGGCCGCACAAGACCAGCTCACCAGAACATCAACCGCCGCCGATGAAAAAAAGTGTAGATCGAAAGGATCCAACTTGTAGACACACGATGACACGAACGGAGACCGGATTCAAGTGGATCCACCAAAGACAAACACAGACATAATCCCGCGAGATCCGTCGAATACACACCTCCCACTACGCTAGACGCACTACAACTTTGTAGTCGCCTCGTCTTCCTAAATAGGACCCAAAACCTAACCAAATTAAAATAAAACTCTTAAAAACATTGTCCTCCAGCCGGACAAGGATGGATCCACCGCGCTTCCACGGGAAACGAGGCAGATCAGGGGCGGCACCGACAGGAGGTAAGGAAACCCTATCCCGAGAGTCACAAACGAAGAGGTACGATAAGGCAACTTCTCAAGTTTAATCCTCCAACTCTTCTTTATTCTCACATTTCCATGCCCTAAATTCGGAAAACACGCATAAGGGACTCATTGAAAAAAATTTAGGATTTTGAGGGTCTGGGACTGCTCCACTCCGTCAAATCCACTTTGAAACAGTTACACCCGGGAGTTACAGCTTTACCAGATGCTTCCTCTGCTCACAAATATAAGATGTTCTAACTATTTTCGGATTTGGATGTATATTGACATGTTTTAGTGTGTTTGTTCACTCACTTCAGTCTGTATGTAGTCTATATAAAAATATCAAAACAATATTTGTGAACGGATGGAGTAGCAATTTATCATGTTTGGCTTAGCTCCAATTTCAAGATTGAAATTTTTTATGGGAAGGGTCTATTTAACTGTGTAACCCGAGGATATAAAATAAAGGGTTATTTATTTACCGGTGGCAGTGATGGGTAATATTTTCCCAACTCCACGAGGATTCCTTAAACGAAGAGTTTTTGGAGCACCCAGTGAAGAGCTTCGCGGAAAACAGAGAGTTGTATATTAGATATTTTTTTGCCTGAGTGGGATATCATTGAGCTACTCTGTTTGGCTTGCATTTTTATAGAGCGGAGATGAATTTTAGAGAGCGGAGATGGCAGCTCCTTAGAGGATTATAATTCTTTGAAAAAATTTCCTATATCAGTCGTTTGATTCATACAATTGAACCTTGTGAGATTTTATTTTATTTTTCTTCTAAGAATCCATTTATACTGCATTCCATAGAGATTATAACATTCACTCAAACCATTCTTTATTTTCATGTGATACAATTAAACAAATCAAAACCATGTAAGATGTTGATGGGCTATTCGTAGGTTCTCAAAATCGTGTGAATCGAATGAGGTAGTTTCCCCTTCCTAAACCATTTCTCCCATTTTAGTAACTAGTAAATGGATACGTGCAATGCACGTTGATATCAGACAGAAAATTAGTTGCAAGTTGATATCAGGCAGAAAATTCATTGCGTGTTGATATCAATTACGTGTTAATTACATGAATAATCCATATTTGGTATGTTATTAATTGCACACTAAACATGTTGAGCGCTCGCCATTGGAGCAATATAGATCATTGGATTAACACGGTTTGATGGCTAAGATTTGTTGGATCTGCCCGTTTGTGTCTTTTTATATTTTCCTATATCAGTCGTTTGATTCATACAATTGAACCTTGTGAGATTTTATTTTATTTTTCTTCTAAGAATCCATTTATACTACATTCCATAGAGATTATAACATCCACTCAAACCATTCTTTATTTTCATGTGATACAATCAAACAAATCAAAACCATGTAAGATGTTGATGGGCTATTCGTAGGTTCTCAAAATCGTGTGAATCGAATGAGGTAGTTTCCCCTTCCTAAACCATTTCTCTCATTTTAGTAACTAGTAAATGGATACGTGCAATGCACGTTGATATCGGACGGAAAATTAGTTGCAAGTTGATATCAGGCGGAAAATTCATTGCGTGTTGATATTAAGTAGGATATCAATTACGCGTTAATTACATGGATAATCCATATATGGTATGTTATTAATTGCACACTAAACATGTTGAGCGCTCGCCATTGGAGCAATATAGATCGTTGGATTAACACCATTTGATGGCTGAGATTTGTTGGATCTGTCCCCTTGTGTCTTTTTATATTGGTATAGATACAGATATAGATGCTGAACTATGAGCTTGTGAACTCTATGCCACTATTGATTATCTGTTGCCTGGCTGGCTCTTGGAGCGACGACTTGGACCTCTTCTTTTGATTTTCTATTCCAAATTGTTATGTTGCATACCTTGATGTTTGCATTTGTCCCTTTCCCTTACAACCGGTTGAATACAACTTTGGATCTCGAGCGGACACCACGCAATCAAAGGAAGAAAATGGTCAATATGCATGTCGATGTAATTCTAGTGTTGGCTTCGTGTCTTTTTCTTCTTCTTTTTTTAATACTTGTCATAACTTAACTTATG